GAGAGTCTGATAGGCACTCAAGAGGATAAATGATCCTCTATCTTTAAAGTGAAACACTCTTTCTATCTTTAAGGAGCAAACAGGATATTTGGATAAACAAATTCTATTTATATATGCACATGAAGAGAAGGCACTAATGGTGAGTCCCCAAACACACTAATATTGGTGAAAGTTTATTATTTTTATTTCTTCTCCTTTACCTCAAAACTAATATTCCATTGATAAAGTGTTATATCTATATAACCAGCTCTATATCTATATAAACAGTTATATCTATATAACCATTCCTGAAACCCTAGTTATCTCACATCAGTTTTCCAATTTCTACATGTTTATTCTTTCTTCTATTTTCCATTTGGATTTCGGATAAACCATTTTTTAAAAATTGCATCCATATTGGTGTTTATCCTTTTTATTTCTTTGCTGAGCTTTAGGATATATTCAAATTAAGGGAGATAATTTAAAATGTGGAACTGTGAATATAGTAAGTCACAAACAGGGACTTTATGGTAGAAAGGCATATGGACCAGGCTAATTGGAAAGTGGGGCGGGGAGGCAAAAACTCTAAGGAAAAAAAATGCTTTGATTCAGCCCAAATATTAGTTTCAAGCCAAAGAATTTGGCCCAGTCTCAATTCTATCCTCGATTGGACACAATATATGATTGGTGCATTTTCAAAACAAGGTTGGGGGGGGAACTCATCCACAAGGTGAGAATCTAAGCATCTATTTTCCATCCCAGTGACAATCAGAAATCATTCTTTGCATTTATTTTTCAACGTTGTATTTGCCTGGTAACAAAATTGAAGCTGGCAAAAGATGGGTTCATGTGAATTACTTGAACAACAGTTTCTCATTGTGTTGAATTACATTGGCGCTGCTTGCTGTGAAATCTTGCCACAGCCCAGTAACTGTGGAAGATATTGTCACTTTTTTTTTCTTTCTGCAGTGACCATGAGGTTAACCCACTTCTTTCCTACAGAAATGAACTGATGGTCCTTTCTCAAGTAGAGGAAGAGAACTCCCCACTTTCTAATTACTAAGCATTTACTTACAGCTTATTAATATTTTAGGAATCAAAAGTCAATTTATCTTCCCATGTCACCCAATCTCCTTTTGGCTGACCTAGGTCAGATTTCAAGATTACATGGTTTCTCAATGTTTGGAATACCTCTAGTTGCCAATAAAGAAAAGAATCTCCAAACCACACCTTAGCAAGCAATAGTTTCACCTAACTTTGAAAAGTTGTCTAGCTCAGAAAAGTAGTTAAAAGCTAAAATATTTGCAAGAACTTTATAACCATTCATAATACTGACCCAGTCATAAATTTACTATCCATGACCAGGGAGATAGATGGTGAAAGAGGCCCCCTGCCTGGAAGGGATGGATGCCTGCAACGTTTCTCCAGGGCAATATTTAAGGTCACCCTGTTGAAGTGTTGGGTGGTGTTCAAGTTGTTTGCCTTACTCTTCAAGTGACTGCAAATGTCCTTGTCAGAGGCTGGTAAAGGTGGCACTTCCTCCTCCTCCTAGGTACTCCTATTGACTCATGGTTGGAAAATGCAGGTTCGATTCCAACCATCTGCTAGCTGTGAGCTCCGAAAAGCCACTTGCGACTGTTTCTTAGGAGTAAAACGGGTCTAAGAAGACCAGATCTCCCTGTATGTGGGGTCCTGCTGAGATAAAGGACATGAAAGCACTTTTTAAGTATTAACGACCTATACAGACATGAGGATGGCTACTCTCTTTCTGCTTCCCCTTTGCTTGTCCGTCTAGAGAACTGCCAAGCATAGGTGCTTGTTCACAAGCACACCTCATTACCCCCGGAGCCTGGAACTACACGTCAAGAAAGGACTAGTCAAGAAGGCAGGGAACAGAACATGTAACATTTCTTCTCTGCACCTCTTTGAGGCTATAGGCCAATTTTGATGATTTTGAAGCCTTCGGGTACAGAATTATGTTCATCGCTGCTTTCTGTTAATTAGAGAAGAAACTATAATCCTGACCTGGAATCCTCTGATTTCTCTTAAAATTAACTTTTAAAATCCAAAACAAATGGGTAAATTGAAAAGAAAAAAATAAAGAAAGAAAGCCTACTCCCTCTCAGACTGCAGATGAGACAATATGGTATGGGAGAGGGCTGGACTTGGGTTCAAGTCCTGTCCTGTTCTAGCTGTGTGACATTAGACTAGTAATTACACCTCTCTGAGTCTCACTTATAAAGTTGAAAAAATGAGTCCTGTACTCCCTGAAAGACAGATTGCTGGGTGATGAATGAGCTAATATATAGAAGTTATTAAGAATCTGGACTGTGATAGCAGACACCCTGCTTTCAAAGGTTGGCTCTGCCATTTACGGGATAAGTGACATTGGTCAAATTATTTAATCTTCCTGGGCCTTAATTTCTCATCTGTAAAACAAGGCCAATGACAACATCTAGGTTAGAGGATTGTTGTGAGGATTAAATTGTTAATGTAGTGAAGCACTAAGAATGCCTGGCCAGAGCAAGCACAAAATAAACATTAGCTCTTGTTATTACACAGTATGTAAATAAGACTTGAAGACTATAATGTGCTCTGAATGGCATTTCAATAGCAATAGGGATCACTTTCAGAAACAAGTCAAAAAGTCTCAGTTCAGCTTGGCAACTTGCCAAGGCAAAATATAGCTAGCCCATCCAGGGTCTTCTCAGGAGTAAATGGAGTGCCCCTAAATGCTAGAATGATGGCCAGGGACATAGTAGTGAAATTGAGGATTTGACAGAAAAACTGGCTATCAGTGAAGAGAGGCTGTGGGCAGTAAGAGTAATGGAGGTAAGTATTCTAACAGTAGGGCTGGTGAGGAATAATGTAGCCCAAGATATGAAATCTGGGGGTTGGGAAAATGGAAAAAAGACTTCTGGGGAGCTTTTCAAATAGGAGGTGGTCTGCAGTGGGTGGGGGGGGGTGGTCATCTCAAAACCATATCAAGCCAGTATGAGATCATGTCTGGAACCACAGAGGAGTAAAACAATTTATATTTAAATGGCATGGCAAAAACAACACCCCCTCCACTCATTCTCATTCAAGTTCTGAGGGAGAAAGTAAAAATTATGGTAGTGTTAATTGCTATTCTCTTGACTGAAAGCCTTGCATTGAGACATAGGATGTCTGCATGGAAACATTCCAGATAATTTGTGGGGTCTCCCAGTTGACTAGGTGGAAGTTGGGGAGTATTTCTAGTACCCATACAATTTTCTGCAAGCTTCAGGAAGCTGTGGCTGATAGCTGGTCCTATCCATAGTACCTTATTGCTCAAAGTCCTTGGTAACACTGAGGATGAGGACTGATGATAAAGAGGGGCTGCTATGGTCAGGCATCCAGGCCAAGGCCTACACAGCCAGGGGAGGGGTGAGGACTAAGGCTGGCCTGTGGCTAACTGCTGCTTCCCTCCTACCTCCTAGTGGGGCTGCTAATTCCTGCAGATGGGTTCCACGCCCTTGGAGGGCCAGACAAGGCCCTCTGCTGGGGTCGCAGAGACCTTGCACTCGCCCAGACATCCTAGCTGGGGGCATGCTGCTCCGAAGGAATTAATGCAAAAACTTCCCTGGTTTGCTTAGCTTCAGTTCCTTTCTCCTCTTTCTGGCTGCAGCCATTTAGGCACGCTCAGTGGCCAGGGAGCAAAGGAGGAGCAGAGGGCCGGAAGGCGGCAGAAGCCTCAAGCAGCTCTGACCTCTGGCATCTTCCCAAGCCCCAGAGCGAAACATCTGTCCTCAGAAATACCCAGGCAGAGGGGAATAGCGCGCGCTAACCCATTCCAAGGCACCCAGTAGCCTTTCTTCCTGGAAACAGCAACTCCTCTCTGGTCTAGCGCCCCGGAGCCTGAACACTAGTTCTAACCCCTGTGGAGGTGCCTTCGCACCCCCATCTCTGGTCCCAGTGCTACTCAGCAGTACCACCCAGTCTCTGCTGCTGCGCCCAAGTGCCCCACAGCGCCATCTAGGGACTGGGTGGCACCTTCCATACTCTGGGGCAGCCCCATCCCCGGCTTTGCTCGGCTAGAACTACCCCCTCCAGTTCTCCCAGCAGCCCGACCCTCTCCGCTTTGACCACCCTTAGCGCCCAAGCCGATCCCCTTTGGCTCCCCAGGGGGGCACCGGCAGCAGGAGCGGCTCAGCCGGGGCACGCAGTGGCGTCCCAGCCCCAGGCCAAAGAGCTGGGGCACAGGGACTGAGGGCAGG